AAAAATTTTTAACTTTGGTGAAATCTATCAGTTTTTTCCTTTATGATCTTTTATTTAATATCTTCTCTATGAAAGTGTTTAACCCAAGGTCAAAAAGATCTTCCCCTACGTTTTTTCTAAAAACTTAAGTTTTAAATTTCTTGTCCACCTCTCCGATCTACCTTGGTTTTTATGTATATGAAGTACAGACTGAGGTTAATTTTTCCACATTTGTCCAGTGGGTTCAACACTACTGGTTGAAAAGACTCCCTTTTCCTCATCTGAAATGTCTTGACATCTTTGCAAAAAGAAAACACTGACCACATGGGTGTGAGTCTATTTTGGATTCTCTATTCTACTCACTGTCCTGATGGTTACAGCCTCAGAGACTTGAAATCAGGTAGCAGAATCCTCCTCCTTTGTTCATCTGTTTCAAGATGGTTTGCCACTTTTGTTTATAGTCCTGCTATGTGGTTTTTATATGTCTAGTTCTTTAGCAGTTTTTCAGTGATGTATCTGCTGAATGAGTGACAAAGTTGCTTTGAAGTCTACTGAAACCTTCTCTTACCGGAGGCCCAGAGGCCCATTTCCATGGCCCATTCTGTTGGCTCCTTTCATGTAATCCTGCTTCCTCACAGGACTGTGTATTCTGGTTTTGTCCTGAACATTGTATTAGAAAAAAACTGTTCATAGAAATAATGTAGGATAAGATGTTTTTCCAAATACCATTTTTATTTGCCTCTACCAGGTACCTGTGAGCACTAGCAATGTGGAATTACCTTAATCCAATTTTAGTGACATATTTTCTAGTCTCTCTAGATGACTTGAGCTAGGAGTTCCCACGAGGTCTTCCAGTTTACCCTGACTCTTAAAGTACAGGTCTTCAGACCCCAGACTTGAGTATTCCAACCTTGAAGACTGGGCAGACCCCAGTTTTCAGCTGTTGTCCTTGTACCTAAAAGAGGCTATCAAAAGGGGCTGTCGAAAGAATTGCTTTTCTGGGGAAAAGTAGCCCCAGCTGCTGGGCTTACCTCTTGAGATTTTTGTTTCACAGTTTTTCACTATCTTATTAGCTCCTTAATGCCTTGACACAGGTTTTTTACCTGGTTCACCATCTCTAAACACAATGCTCAGAAATTTTACTTGGTTTACTTAAGAATCCCTAGGCCTCTAATGAAATGATATAGGATTAACTGTTAAAAGCAGGTATTCTACTAACTTCAGTCAAGAAAGTTAATAGCCATGACAAAGTGTGAAAAAAAATAAAAACAGAGACACAAAAGCTAAAGTATTTTTTAAAGCTTAGCACTATTTAAACTAAGAGCAAATAGTCTTAAAAGCACTGAGATTTTTTAATCTCTACATTATACTTTAGTATAAAACTTTAATACAGACAAAATGCTTTCCTTCTTAACAGCCCCATGAGATGTGGACAGCAGTATTTATCCATCATAAACTTGTAACCTAAGATCACATTCTGCATACTCAAGAGGCACAAATCATCTCGGCTATTTTGGGAAAGACTCACACTCAAAATCTTTAAAATATGTTAAGTTATAACAGATAATAGGATAATGGACAGGAATTTAAAAAATTTCTTTGTATAACATATTTTTAGACAATGACTAAGAAATGTCAGTATTTCCCTAAGAAGCATGTATTTCCAAAATTTCCTATTTCAGAGAGATTTTTAATAGATGGGATAATGTATTGTACAATACCAACAGAATGCTTAACAGGTATTTTCCATTCTAAAACTACTGGTAATTCACCTAGACTTTCCTAAGTGCAAAGAGCATGAATAAATATGCTGTTATACCATGGTCATGACATCTTTTGCTTGTTTGGTTTTATGCACCCACAGAGAGTTTTATAAGATATTACAGACAGTGCCTGACTTACAATGTTTAAGATTTTTCCGGCTAAGTGCAGTGTGGCTCATGCCTATAATTCCAGAGCATTAGGAGGCTGAGGCAGGAAGATCGCTTGAGCCCAGGAGTTCAAGACCATTAATGGGCAACACAGCAAAACCCTGTCTCTACAAAGATTCTATAAAAACTTAGCTGGGCATGGTAGCATACAACTGTGGTCCCAGCTACCTGGGAAACAAAGGTGGGAGGACTGCTTGGGCCTGGGTGGTCAAGACTGCAGTGAGCCAAGACTGCGCCACTGCACTCCAGGCTAAGTGACTAGGAGAGAAATCCCACCTCAAAAAATAAAAAAAAAGATTCATTTTGACTTTATAAGATTATGGGGTATTAAATGCATTTTTAACTTATGATTTTTTTTTTTTTTTTTTTTTGAGATGGAGTCTCACTCTGTTGCCCAGGCTGGAGTGCAGTTGCTCACTTCAACCTCTGCCCCCCAGCGTTCAAGCGATTCTCCCACCTCAGCCTCCCAAGGAGCTGGGATTACAGGCGCCTGCCATCATGTCCAGCTAATTTTTGTATTTTTAGTAAAGATGGTGTTTCAACATCTTGGCCAAGCTCATCTTGAACTCCTGACCTCATGATCCACCCTCCTCAGCCTCCCAAAGTGCTGGGATTACAGGCATGAGCCACTGCGCCCAGCCAACTTATGATATTTTTAAACTTAAGATGAGTTTGTCAAGATGAGAAGCATCTATATTAGAAATAGTTTATCATCTAAACAGACAAGACTATAAATAGAACAGATTCATCAGTTCAGGACAGGAAACAAGTTCTCTACTTTTTCTTTTCCCTCGGCTGCTGTAAGTATATGCTTTAAGAACAAGTTTACTATAAGGCTTCAAGCTCTCTTCAGCAGCTAAAAATATGCTATTCTAAGTTATCAACACTGAAAATCAGAATATGAGAAATAGCAAGTCAAATAAGGTGGCTTTTACCCCATCTCATGAAACACGCTTGTTTGTTGTTTAACAACAGGAATATGTTCTGAGAAATGTGTTGTTAGGCAGTTTCATTGTTGTGTGAACATCCTAGAGTGTATTTACACAAACATAAACATATCTGAACATAGAAAAGTACAGTAAAAATACAGTACAGATGATAATTGTACTCCTGTATATAACACTTCCCATGAATGGAGCTTGCAGGCCTGGAAGTTGTTCTGAGTGGTGAGTGAATGTGAAAGTCTAGGACACTACTAGATTTTACAAACACTACACACTAGACTATTGCTACATTTATTAAAATATTTTTCTTTCTTCAATAATAAATGTTAGTTTACTGTAACTTTAAAATTTTTAAAAACTTTTTAACTCTTGACACTTAGCCTAAAATACAAACACATTCTACAGCTGTACAAAAATATTTTCTTTATATTCTTATTATATATACTTTTTTCTATTTAAAATACGTTTTTAACTTTTTTGTTAAAAACCAAGACACAAACACACACGTTAGCCTAGGCCTACACAGGGTCAGGATCATCAAAATCACTGTCTTCTGTCTTCACATCTTGTCCTACTAGAACAGGGATGTCCAATCTTTTAGCTTCCCTGGGCCACACTGGAAGAATTGTCTTGGTCCACACATAGAATACACTAACACTAACAAAAGCGGATGAGCTTTAAAAAAAAAAAGTCACAAAAAGTCTCATGTTTTAAGAAAGTTTACAAGTTTGTGTTGGGCTACATTCAGAGCTGTTCTGGGCTGCGGGTTGGACAGGCTTGCACTAGAAGGTCCTTGGGGCAATAACAGGCATGGAACTGCCACCTATGACAACAATGCCCCCTTCTGGATACCTCCTAAAGGACCTGCCTGAGGCTGTTTGACAGTTAACTTAGGGAAAAAAAAGAAAAAAACGGAGAAAAAAAACTACACAGCCAAGTAGCAGTAGCTTCTGCCACATATCCTGCAAAAAAAAAAAAAAAAAAAAACAACAAAAAACAAAAGTTGAATTAGGTTGGGCGACATGGCTCATGCCTATAAAATCTCAGCACTTTGGGAGGCTGAGGTGGGTAGATCGTCTGAGGTCAGGAGTTCAAGACCAGCCTGGTGAAACCCGTCTCTACTAAAAATACCAAAATTAGCTGGGCATGGTGGCAGGTACCAGTAATCCCAGCTGCTCTGGAGACTGAGGTAGGAGAATCACTTGAGCCCAGGAGACAGAAGTTACAGTGAGCCAAGATCACCCCACTGCATTCCAGCCTGGAGACAGAGTGAGACTCCATCTTGATTAAAAAAAAAAAACCAAAAAACCAAACAAGTAGAAGGAATACACTCTAAAATAGCCATAAAAAGTACAGTAAATACATAAACTAGTAACGTAATCATTTGAATTATCAAGTATTATATAATACTGCACATAGCTGGATGTGCTATGGTCTTATATGACTGGCAGTGTTGTAGGTTTGTCTGTACCAGCATCACCACACACAGGTAATGTACTGTGCTATGACATTATAAGACTGTGATGTAGGAACTTTTCAGCCCCATTTTAACCTTACAGGGACTGTCACATAAGTGGTCCACTATTGACCAAAATGTCATTATGTAGTGTATGACTGTAGTTCATTAAGCTTAATGATGAAAAGACAGTTACATTAGGCCCTTTCATTTACTTTTGTAACTTATCTGATAAGCGAGAAACATCTTTAAGTTATTAATGAAGCCTTTATCCTAATCCTTTAGGCAGAATAGAAAAATATTACAAGCAAAAACCAAAATGACATCTTAATTAATTTTTAACATAGCAACATAATAAATTCTACATTTAGCATATAGTATTATGAAATAACATGAATGAACTGAACCTGATAATTTACTGCCAATTCAAAATTGGAAAGAAAAAACTCAAAAAGAAAATGAGTTACAAAAGGAATATAAAAAAATTAAAATATGAAATGAAATAAAGCTTTACACTGAAAATTAAAAGGAAACCAATGGCTTAATAGTGCAGATACATAAGAAATTTTTAAGATACACAAAGAAAATGAACAAATATGAAATTAATTTGTAAAAGTTGCTGGAAAATAATGTTGAAAGTATTTTCAGTTTCAGTTCTGAAAAAATTTAAGCTAAGAATAATTTACTTACCCAAGTTCTGTCATGCCATCTAGAAATTCCTTCCTGCTAAATTCACACTGAGTTGCTGCCCTGAACTTCCACGCGATGACCAATACACTGATACTGGCAGGATCTAGGTGCAGATCATCACAAAACTGTTGGATCCCATCTATTCCAATTTTGTTTTCATCTTGTGGGTCTGTAGTTAACATCAGGGGAAAAGAAAGTTATACTTTTTTGAAAAGTAATTCTAAAATAGGAGGTTTGAATCCTATCATTCTATTATACTACCTAGTTCTAGCAAGCGTGTTTCCAATACATCAATCAACAGGCTGCACAGGAAAGAAATAGTGAGCAACAAATAATGTATCCAGAAAACGGTCCTATTTTTAAAATCTAGGTTTCTGGATTTTAGGGGAAAAAAAATCATTGACTTTTGAGAAGCTCTGATCACTAAGAAAAATTTAATTTCCTTAAAGTGAAATAAAAATTCAAGTTTACAGAAATTTAGCTCACCCAAAGGCAAACTGCTACAAAAATACTGGATTGATAAAGTATTTGTAATACCTCAGTTATCACAACTCTGCCAAAGTAAATGAATGATTGATGTTTTTCTTCTTAAATAATTTTATTTGCTAGTTCTAATGGTGCTGGACAATAACTCTTTTTCAGAATAATTTAGCTTATGCATCCACATTTAATAGCTTAGAAATTCAGGCTCCCCACCCCCTATTTCTAGTTTAAAAATAAAATTAAAGAACTTAGTATTTGTTTATCAGAAAATCAAACAGTAAAATATATTTAAAGCATCCCAGCAAGACGTCACTAAAGCTAGTAATTTCAGATAGATTATGTATATCATAATATATCATAATGCATATGTCAATTGTTGGTTTAGAAGGTGAAATAGAAAACCTGTAGCTTCTTTGCTTAAATAAAGATTAGGTGTGATAAATTTTTCTTCCCCTTCATACAAAATTTAACTTTGGTCGTTTAAGTAATATATTACTACATATATATAGTTACCAAAGAAAAACTGATGACGTAAATGAAAGAAACCATAAACATCCTTCTAACTCTATTCTCCTACATCAGGAGAAAACAACCTCACCCATAGTTTATGGGACAGAGGTTCTATTAAAAAAAAAACCTCACTTATTACCTTCTTCAATTCCACCTCCTTATATTACACTTCAGGAACAGAAATACTGATCTACAAAGCTCTGAATTAATAAACCATCTCAGTAAATTTCATTACAACAATGTTCAATATTTCAAGTAATTTTACAAGTACTTATTCGTTTGTATGTTAATATAATAACATATGTTTGTCAGCAGTCTTAGAACTATGTTTATTTTTAGAGTCTAAAATGATTACACCATGTTTCTACTTTAACTAACTATAATTGCATGATAAAGTTAAATAATAATGAAGGAATGAAGCTTCAATAACACCTAAAGATACAATTTTCCACTTATACACAAGTATTTTTTCAAAGGCAGCTGTACATATTTAAATAACTTTAAAAAAATTTGCATAGCATATGACTTACAAAATTAGTTCAGTAACTAACTTAGCCAAAAATTCTTAAAACATGACTAAAGCTTAACTAAAAACAATTTTAATTTTTTAGGAACTATAATAAGTACAAATCTGATTTGTTTGTTTTACCACTGACTAAGTTTCTGAGCTAAGATTTTTTTTAAGGCAATTTTCAATCCATTTTTCAGATCTAAACAGAAAGACTAAAGTTCACACACAGTATTTGGCTGGACACAGTGGCTCACGCCTGTAATCCCAGCACTTTGGAAGGCCGAGACAGGCGGATCACGACATCAGGAGTTTGAGACCAGCCTGGCCAATATGGTGAAACCCTGTCTCTAAATAAAAATAGAAAAAATTAGCCCAGCGTGGTGGCGCGCACCTGTAGTGCCAGCTACTCGGGAGGCTGAGGCAGAAGAATCACTTGAACCCAGGAGGCGGAGGTTGCAGTGAGCTGAGACGGTGCCACTGCACTCTAGCCTAAGCGACAGAGCAAGACTCTGTCTCAAAAAAAAAAAAAAGCAAAAAATGAAAATAATAAACAAACAAGAAGTTAAAGCCAAGGAAATTATTCTATATTTGAGCTAATACTTGTTTAAATGAGGGTCAAGGTTTGGTTTTGTTTTCAAGTTTTGGAAAACTTAGTCTTAAAAACTGCTAGAAACAGCTAAACAAGTCAGCTCTTAGCCTGCTGCCTCTCCCTCTGCACTAGATATGAAATGTAGAGCCTGCAGAACCTGGATCTGCATATGCTCATCAAGGCAGTCTAGAGTTCACGGCACAGCTGCATTTTCACAAGAAGCTTTGATCTAAGCACTGATGTCAATAAAAATCATGACTGTTCACAATCTGCAACACAAGGTTTCTTTGCTGAGAGCTTTTCCCAAAGCCTCTCTAACCATGGAAGCTATTTCAGTGCTGACATGCCACTACCCGGGCAAGGAAAACACTGAGGTTCACCCTTGCTCCAGGATCATCTTCGTGATTTGGTGGTGTTCTTAACCTTCTCACCATCAATATTTCAGCCTAAATAGAAGTGCTTGAAAACAATACCGTATTAACAGACACAATCATGCTGACACCAAGCCTCCCAGCAGTGGCTTTTCCCTGACAGGCTGTGCGACATCGGACTCACCGCACAGTACAAGTGGGCGCTGGCCTGGTCCTGATCCATCACTGACTCCCCTCTTCTCGCCCTCCCCACCTCCCTCCAATCACAGTCCCAGCCCCATTTAAATGGGAGAAAGTGGATTCTGTAGCTGAGCGCAGGGAGAAGAAGCAAGAGCAGCCTAGAGACCTCCTGCCTCTGGCACCAGAGCCCTGGACATGCAGTGCCCAGGCCGCTGATGGAGGTGGGCATCCGTCCAGCTTTGCTGCCAACCCCTCTTACCTTTGTACCTGCCGTACAGCTGCTCCAGCTTCTTCTTGTCCACAGTGTTCCGCATGGACTCCCTGTGGAACGAGTCTGGGTTTTGGAAGAAGCTGTCCGTGGCCTCGTCTAGTCTCCACTCATTCTGCGTTAAGCAGTAGATAGCAGTTCTCTCGCCAGCCTGAGTGCATGCCATAAACTGGCGGACCTTGTCCCTCTGAGACGATTTAAGCTTATGCTTTGGGATGCAAAAGAAGTAGGAAAGCCAGTGAGGCTGCTCAGGGTTTGTCCCAGCCTCTAGCCTAACGCCTGCACTTAACTGGGCAGAATCACAGAACATAAAGCTTTGCTCTTCATCAGTTAAAAAGACTGCACAGCCTTCTGAAAATCGAAACAATGGCACCTACACAGTAACAAACAGGCAGTCTAACCTTCAAAAATTATGAGAATTAACATTTTATACAAGACACATTCTGACCTCTACACAGTCACTCTGCGTGAAGTATGACTATTGTTTTTCTAAAAATCTCTGTATGCCTCCCTCTGTAATGCACATCTAACCCTCTGATGAAACAGGGCAAGGACTTCACAGCATCACAGGGGCCCTAGCTGCAGGGTCTTCTTTGGCTTCAAGTAAGTTCAGGCTCTAATGAATGGGAAGAGGCTGTGCAGTTAGGAGACATTAAGTTTTTCCCAGTTTAAATTCAGCAGAATCACACTGATAAAAACGTACACCAATAACTAAGGAAAGTGTTAAAAGTAATTTATAAAAATTTCACAAGCAGGCACAAAAAAAGCCTGTTATGATTAAATGGAAACAATAATACTAATAACAAGAATGCCTCTGTATAGGAGACAGAAATAAAATGAAAAATAGGACAGAGGCTCTGGGCAGGCAATAAATAACAAAACTGCCAAGTAGCTGTACTATATATAGTATATAATGAAACAAGGTAATATCTTGACACTTCCAGATATAGGAGGGCTGAGTTTCCACTTATCTAAAGTAACTTGATGATGTAATCCCAGCACTTGGAGGCCAAGGCAGATCACTTGAGGTAAGGAGTTCGAGACCAGCCTGGCCAACATGGTGAAACCTCATCTCTACTAAAAATACAAAAATTAGCAGGGCATGGTGGTGTGCACCTGTAGTCCCAGCTACTCGGGAGGCTGAGGCAGGAGAATCGCTTGAATCTGGGAGGCAGAGATTGCAGTGAGCTGAGATCTTGCCACTGCACTCCAGCCTGGGTGACAGAGCAAGACTCTGTCTCAAAAAATAATAATAGTAAACAAAGTAACTTAATGAAAACAACACTGGAAAAGAAAGTGATTTACTAACTTCTCTAAATCCAAACAGACCCTAGAATCTACTGGATGCTAATGTTTTACAAAAATGCTTTCCACAATAAGGGGGTAATTTTTTACTCAAATTTTTATAAGGAATTTATGCTCAATCTTGTTCAAATAAAAATGGACAACTTATAAAAACACATGGAATGAATCCTAACATAACTTACAGAAATATACAGAAGGATAACAAGGTATGGATGAGAAAACTTGAGACTGGGGAAAAGGCATACCAGAAGGCCAGGGGTACTGTTAGTACAGGGACAGGCCTGTCACATGTCAGAGCTGGAAATCAGGCTCTAAGCTTCCCCAGTGCCACAGCAAAGAAAATATGATTAGTTAGGAAAATCCGTTTTCATAGGATCTAAAACCTTAGCAGCAGCTCAGAAGTGGTACAGACCATTCTGGCCTAAAGCCTGAGGGAACCATCTCCTGGGGCTCCTCACGAAGTTCAACGTTTCCTCGTGTATACCAATTTCTCACCAAAACGCCAACAACGTACTGCAGAGCTGGCTTCCAGTTGCTTTTTTTTTTTTTGAGACAGGCAATCAAAAAGCATGGTGCCAAAATACCAGAGGACAATTCCGCAGGAACATTAAGATAATGCTGTCCAGACAGACAGTCCCCCGCGTGCACCTGGGACCCTGGGGTCCTCAGGCCTCTCAGGAGTTCCACAGAACTACCTTCCTGAGTGTTCTAAGCTGTCACCAGCCTTGCTCACTCTCATTCTCACAAAGTGCACAGCAGAGGCTTCCACAGGCTGTATGGGTTGTGATATCACAGGACTGAAAACAAGACTTGGGAGCCTTTTACTGAGCCAAAATTAAGATATTTGCAAAAACTAATGGGTTTATTATTGCTAATTAAATACAGAAATATTTCAATACTTTCTATTTTAATTTCTAATATGGTAAATATTGACGACTATTACCCACATAAACAATGGCTCTCATTTAAGAAGGACTGGGGTTCAACGTTCCGATGACTGGGGCTCCAATCATTCTTAGAAACATACAGGAAATGTGGTTCATATACACCATGGCATACTACGCAGCCACAAAAAGGACGAAGATCATGTCCTTTGCAGCAACACAGATGGAGCTGGAGGCCATTTCCCTAAGTGAACTGATGCAGGAACAGAAAATCAAATGCCACATGTTCTCACTTGTAAGTGGGAGTTCAACACTGAGCACATGTGGACACAAAGAAGGAACAACAGACACCGGCACCTGCTTGAGGGTGGCAGGAGGGAGAGGATCACAAAACCACCCATTGGGTACTGTGCTTCTCACCTGGCTGACGATATCATCTGTAAAGCAACCCCCAGGACATGCTACTAACCTTTATAACCAACCTGCACATGTGCCCCTGAACCTAAAATAAAATAAAAAACAAGCCCCAAAACAATAGAGGACTCCTGAGACGAAACACTTTGAGAACTGCTAATTCAGGGGAGTCCAGGGAATTAACATTTCGGCCACTCAGAACAATGAGTGTTGAGCATTTGGGAGTCTTGGATCCCTTTTGGAATCTGATGAGTCATCGTTCTGCCCTCCAGGAAAACATATAAGAACCTCACATGCGCAGGCAGCTTTGAATAAAATTTCAGGGGTTTCACAGATGGCTTAGGTCTATCTGGAAAGTTCTCATAAGGTAGGAGAAGGTAGAACTCAGGCTGAGAGCTGGTGAAGAAGATCAGAAACCTTCACTCAGCCAGCTTTCTCTCGTAATGTTCCAGACAGCAGCCATCTCAGGCTTGTGGGCCAGGTGGTATGCTGCAAAAGCAGACAGCCATAGTGTTCCAATAAAACTCAATTTACAAAAACAGCTAACTTGTGGGCTGTAGTTTGCTGACCCCGACCTACATTCTAGAGGAATGAATGAATACACATTCTCTATATTATTTCCTGAAATTGAGCTTTTGAAAAGAACTAAACAAAGAATTCGAGGTTGTATTCTCCGGCAAGATTGAATTTAGCTAAATTAAATCAGATCCCATATTCTCTGACAGTAAGCAGACAAAAGATAGAGCTGGTGTCTTTTTACGAAGTTGACAGCCTTCTGAAGGGAGGGTGAGCAAAGCCAAGAGTTACCTTAAAAAGTTTAGTATAAAGACACAAGTACAACCCCCAAAATGGTCCACCACTAAGAAAAGCCATGACATCCTCACTATGGAAGCGGCCATCATTGCTAGATTTAAAAATTCTGCCATGTTACACAACAAAATTTAGTATATCCATGTAACAGAATAGAATTTGGCCATAAAAAGGAATGAAGTATTGATACATGCCACAACATGTATGAAGCTCAAAAGCACGATGCTGAGTGAAAGAAGCCAGGCACAAGAAGCCACACCGTGTATGACTCCACTTAGAGGAAATATGCAGAATGGGCAAATCTACAGAGAGAGAAAGGTGAGTGGTGGCCAGGGGCTGGGACAAGGGAGGAGCTGGGAGTGACTGTTGATGGGTGCAGGGCTTTCTTTTGGGGCAACAAAAATGTTTTAAGACTAGATAGAGGTGGGAGTTCCACAAATTTGTGAACATACCAAACACCATTGAATTGTACTCTTTAAAATAATTTTATGTCACATGAATTTCACCTAAAAAAAAAAGTCAACATTGTACTCATTAGACTCTCCCAGACTATTCAGCAGACTAATATCCTCTTGGGTGACTGAATTATTCAACCAGCATTATACAACTGATGGCTCCACATCAAGAGATCTGGAATGCGGACACCTGGAAGACATGATGGTGTCTGATCCTGAGCTCCCGCGGGTCACCCCTTGAAGCCGCCTCTAATATGCGACGACATTGTTACACCAGCAGCCTAGTTTCCTACAACTCTAGAAGAACAGATGCAGGAGCACATGGATTCAAAGTGGTTTTGGATGGTTACTGTCAGCTACAGAGGGAACTGAAGGGTATCGAGAAACACGGAGATCCTCCTGCAATCTACTCAAATTGCCTGATGTCACAAGATACGCCAGCAAACCCTGAACGGCACGGTGGTGCCAAAGCACCGGTTCAGAACGAGCAAGAGCAGCTCTGAGGTCTAGGCTTAGCCCATTAACATGTCTCTGGCCAGTCAACAAAGGTGCAATCATTTGACGTCACCGCTTACAGGTTTCTCCATAAAATAACGGCAATTAAAGCAACGATGAGTAGCTAAATCTAAAGACTACGTGCTTCATGTCCAAAAGTGACTAAGAGACCCAAGTGGCCTCTTCTGAAGAAGGGAACTGGCATAAAGCTTCTTAGGAGACAAAAAAGCTATCAACTAACAAACTAAAGGGGAGAGAAAGAAGCCCCGAGTGCCCTTAGACAGGACTAAACCCAGGTCAAATTAACAAAGGCCCAGACGTTGGCAGGAAGCTTTTGAGTGTACCCAGATGGGACTGAACCCAGGTCAAACTAATCAAGGTCGATCCACTGTGGAACCGGGGCCGCCCTTCAGGCTGACAACCTTCACCGAGGCTTACCACGTCATGCAAATTCAATTATTAGGCCAGCTTTTCAAGAGTGTATGTAGGGGGGTATTTTCTAGGTTTCACTACTTTATTCTGTTAAAATGTACACAATTCTTGAAATAAAAATCCGGACAATCCAGCGGAAACAGCAAATAAAATCTCTAAGCTATAAAAAGTCTTAAACGTTTTAACTGTGACTTTGTGTAAAACTACTCATATAATCTGGCATCAAGGATACCCATAGGTCGAATGGAAAGAAATTACTCTTACAATGTCCTTGGGTCAACTTACAGGGGGCTGGTGGGCCAATCATTTTGATCAAATAAACTATATAAGCTTATGGATCACTTTGACGCTGTTTTGGTGTACAGAACACTTGAGGGAGGGAGAATGAAATTCATCCCCGCTCCGCAGCAGTGGAGGAGCTGATAGATGATCATAGACGCTCCTCTCCCGCATTCTGAGCGTGTTCAAGTTTCCCCAAGCTAAGTTCCTGTCTACTCTGCCCGTTTCCTCCTAAAAGGTGGAGCGAACTACCTTTACCAGCCCAGGTATGCACCCTAACTCATGCCACCTCGCTGCAACTCGGCCTCCGCAGTGACCCCTGAGGGTCACACAAGCCCGGCGGCTGCAGTTAGTGGCATCTTCACAGCTGCTCTTTCGTTCAGCACTGCTGATGGCTCCCTTCCCATCTAAACCCCATCCTCTTGATTTCGACACATTGTAGCCTCCTGGTTTCTCCCACCGGCCCTTCTCAGTCTCCTCTGCGGCTCTTCTCCCCTCCTGACACTCTGTCTTCCCCCTCCACTCCCCTCTACTCGTCACCGTGTCCCTTCCCGGCTCTCTGTGCTTTAGCCAGGGCAATCTTTCAGCTTCTAGACGACGCCATCGCCGACCACCTATGCATGTACCGTTTCTTCTGCCTGGAGCCGCGCACAGCTGGCTGCCCCTGCCACCTCACTTTTTCTCTGGCTAATTTCCAGAGAAATTCTGCAGAGCTCAGCTCACACCGTCAGCATCTGACAGCACGCCCCCGCCCGCACCCTACAGGCTCCTGGACCCCGTGCCTCGGCCCTCGTCCCAGCCGTGTGTCTGGCGCCTGCCACCCCTGCTGGGGCACCAGCTCCTTCGGCGCCAAAAGCGCGCCCGGCCCAGCGCCCATCACCGCCAGAGCACCCTGCTGGCCTCTGAGGCGCTGTGTCTGAGCCCCATCCATCACCGTGGCTTCCACCGCACTTCGAAGCAGCTGAGGCGCACCCCGGCAGCCTCCCTCCCGGGCCGCAGACGCACAGCCCCGGCCCGAGCGCCGCCGCCTCTCCTTCCCCTCCCGGCCGCAGGCCGCCCCCGCGAATCTGTGCTTCTCGGGGTTCCTCCCCTGCGCGGTTTTGGTCAACAGCCTCAGCACCTGCACCGGCGCCCGCAGGAGCAGCCGAGCCCGCGCGTGCGTCCGCTCCCGTTTCCGAGCCGCCCTGGGAAGCCGCGGCTCCCCCAGGCCCCCGCCGCCCCGCGCCCCGCGGCTCCCCCCGGCCCCCGCCGCCCCGCGCCCCGCGGCTCCCCCCGGCCCCCGCCGCCCCCGCACCCCGCTCACGATCGGTAGTCCCTCGCAGCTCGCGGCTCCGATCAAACCCGCGCCCCCCACGGTCCCGCGCCTCCCACGCCGCCGCTCCGGCTCGCAGGCCCCGGCGCACTCCTCCCTCAGCCCCGCCCGGGACGCCCCACACAGCTCGCCGGGCTCGGCCCCACCCATCCAGCGCGCCGCCAGCGCCGACCTCGGCGCCCGACCCCGACCCCGACCGGCAGAGGCGACGCCAGCGCACCTACCATCTCCCTCGCGCCGCCCGCCCCTCGCCGGCCCCGGCCTTCTGCGCAGGCGCGGCGGTCGCTCCGCCCTAGTCCTAGGACGGCCGCGGCCCGGGGCTCCGGGGCACTGGCGGGAGCCGGCCGCGGGGACTCCCATTCCCGGAATGCTCAGCGCCGCCCGGGGGCCGACGGGAGCTCTCGCACCGCCCCTGCCCCAGCGCTCCGCCTGTTCGGCGCCGACATCCCCCTGTCTCCCCGGCTCGTCCTGCCCTCTGTGAGGGCCGTGGCTAGCGCCTGAGGTGACCGATGCCGGCCCGAGGCTCCCAGGCCCCACGCCGGTCGGGAGGTGCTCTTAGAAGACGAGGGTGACGAGTCGGTGCACAGAACTCCATCTCCCGACATGCCCTGCACCGCCCCTCGGCCGACGGGACACGCCCACTCCCGCCTCTTAAAGGGGGCTGCGCCTGCGTGTGGGCGGGAGTCCTGGGCGGCGGCGCTGGGCTAGGGCGGCTCTTCGCTGAGCGGCGGCCGCTCCTTCCCGGCCTCCCGGCCGCAGTCCCGCCTGGCAGAGGATGAAGGGAAGCCCTCGGGCGCTGCGGTCCGAGGCGAGAGACGGCGTCCCTCTCCGCCCCTCGGCTCCCGGCGCCGCAGAGCCCTGCCCAGGCCGCGGGACGGTGATGCTCTGGCCGGGCGGGTGGGCGCGGCCCCCTACGTCCCGGTGAGCGCCGGGCCTTGTCCTAACGGGGCTCTTTCCCAGGGGTCCCCTTCTTTCCTTTCCTCTCCCTCCCCGGGGCTCCCCTTCCTTCTCTCCTTCCCTCCCTCCCCAGGGCTCCCCTTCCTTCTCTCCTTCCTTCCCTCCCCGGGGCTCCCCTTCCTTCTCTCCTTCCCTCCCTCCCCGGGGCTCCCCTTCCTTCTCTCCTTCCCTCCCTCCCCGGGGCTCCCCTTCCTTCTCTCCTTCCTTCCCTCCCCGGGGCTCCTCTTCCTTCTCTCCTTCCCTCCCTCCCCGGGACTCCCCTTCCTTCTCTCCTTCCCTCCCTCCCCGGGGCTCCCCTTCCTTCTCTCCTTCCCTCCCTCCCCGGGGTTCCCCTTCCTTCTCTCCTTCCCTCCCCGCCTCCGGGGCTCTCCTTCCTTCCCTCCCGGGCCTCCCCTTCTCTTGCAGGCGCTGTCTCCCGGGGTCGGGTGGTCTGTGTGGCCTGGGGTCCCGCTCCTCCAGGCCTTGCCTAGGCGTTCTTGGCTGAGGCCCACGTTCTCACCTGGTAGCCACCTGCGTTCCCACCCTGGCCGCCCGCGGGGACTCGGGACCGCCAGGGCCGGCGGCGGGGCGGGGATGCAGCCCCATCCCTGGCGCCCCTCCTGTGGGGTCCGTGAGCCAGGGTGTGGACGCCTGCGCTGGGAAAGCAAGGCCGCTGTGCTTCGGGTCCCTAGTAACTGCCCGTTTTTCTGGTTACTCTCTTACAAATTTATCTTATTTACCGGCTTTTTCAAAAGGAGTGTCTTAATGTTTGGATTGCTTAGTGAAATATACATATATTTTTCCTACAAACTTGACTTAAATATTCTGAAGCTGGCCGGACGCGGTGGCTCACGCCTGTAATCCCAGCACTTTGGGAGGCCGAGGCGGGTGGATCACGAGGTCAAGAGATCGAGACCATACTGGTCAACATGGTGAAACCCCGTCTCTACTAAAAAATACAAAACATTAGCTGGGCATGGTGGCGCGTGCCTGTAATCCCAGCTACTCAGGAGGCTGAGGCAGGAGAATTGCCTGAGCCCAGGAGGCGGAGGTTGCGGTAAGCAGAGATCGCGCCATTGCACTCCAGCCTGGGTAACGAGCGAAACTCCGTCTCAAAAAAAAAATTATATATATATATATATTCTGAAGCTTTTTTGTTGTTGAGACAGAGTCTTGCTGACGCCCCAGGCTGGAGTGCCCAGCCAAGGCTCAAGGGATTCTCCCGCCTCAGCTGCCTCAGGAGCTGGGGCCACAGGGGCTACTAAGCCGCACTAAGTTTTTCATTTTTAATAGAGACAGGGTCTTGCTGTGTTGCCCAGGCTGGTCTACAACTCCCGGCCTCAGGCAGTTCGCCCACCTCAGCCTCCCAAAGTGCTGGGAATATAGATAATTGGTCATAATACAGCAGTGGCATGAACCACCGCACCCAGCCTTTTTATTTTGAGATGTTGCAGATTCACATGTAGTTGTAAGGAGTAATATAAAGAAATCCTAGAGTGCCTTGCCATGTTTTCTCCAATGGTAGCACCTTGCAAAACCATAGTACATGCAGGAAATTTTCATTGATCAGATCCCCTGACCTGCTGAGATTGCACCAACTGTATACGCACTAGTGAGTGTCAGTCTACAGCTGTGTGTCTTCTCAATGAAATTGAGATTTTTTTCACTTAGCCTTGAGATACATCCGCATTGTTATATGTATCAATAGCTCAAGATACAGAAATTCTAAGAATTCATTATTTAAAAAGTAATCCCAGCACTTTGGGAGGCTGAGGCAGGCAGATCAGCTGAGGTCAGGAGTTAAAGACCGCCTGACTAACATGGTGAAACCCAGACTTTACTAAAAATACAAAAATTAGCTGAGTGTGGCGGTGGATGCCTGTAATCTCAGCTACTCGGAAAGCTAAGGCAGGAGAATGGCTTGAACCGGGGAGGCGGAGGTTGCAGTGAGCTAAGATCACACAACTGCCTTCCAGCCTGGGTGACAAAAGCAAAACTCAGTCTTAAAAAAAAAACCAAAAAACTGCACCACATTACAGGTATTCAAAGTCTTTCTTTTTTTTTTTTTTTTTTTTTGAGATGGAGTCTCACTGTGT